TGCTGTCATTTTGCAAATCTGAATAAAATTGTTGCCGCATTTGATGAATCAGTAGAGGAAAACCCTGATGAACAGGTTAATTTTCTTGAAACATACAATGTGTTTTTTTGTTGTTGCGTACACATAGAACCAGATGGAAGAACACTTTATGGCAGTGCGTCGTCATTGGCAACAAAGGAGAGTGAGACATCACAGTTCTCATTGGATTTAGAACGTGCTACTGTTAATTACCGACCAAAGAAAAAGAAACAATCAACTTTCATGACTACAGGTCTGTTATTTTTTTTTGTCGTCATTGATTTTTGTCCGATCAACCTTTGCTGTTGCATGCATCAAAATATTTGTTTAGTCTCAGTATGTAATACTCTTTATGTTGTATTGTTTACAATATATGTTTTTCAACACTTTAAATTCTTTGCAAAGGGAGTCTTTGCAGTTAGTGTGTCTGTGTGTGTGTGTGTGTGTGTGTGTGTGTGTGTGTGTGTCTGTTCCATCGAAAGAACCATACATTGTTTTTTGATGAAACTTTTTGCATAGATGCTCTGGGCCAATGCCTAGATTTGATTAGGTTTTGGTAAAAATTCTTGCATATTAATTACCTAATTTGCATGATAATTAGCTGATTTTTAGCTTTTCCATGACTGTTCCACTGATATCTAAAGAACCACTCATTGGATTTTTATCAAACTTGGCACATAGATGCTCCAAACTAATGGACAGATTTGATTAGTTTTGGTTAAAAATCTGTGCAATATTAATTACCTAATTTGCATAATGATTAATAAATTTTCGGCTTTTCCACTGATATCTCAAGTACTAATCATCACATTTCCATAAAACTTGGTACATAGATGTCATAGGACACTGCGTAAACCTGATAGTTTTTAGGGTAGTATCAGTACATATTAATTACCTAATTTGTATAATTAATTAATTTTCAGCTTTTGATATTTTAAGTAGTAATCATCACATTTCAATGGAACTTGGTACACAGATGTCATAGGACACTGCACAGACTTGATAGTTTTTAGGGTAATATCAGTACATATTAATTACCTAATTTGCATAATTAATTAATTTTCAGCTTTTGATATTTCAAGTAGTAATCATCACATTTCAATGAAACTTGGTAAATAGTTACTTAAGGACTGCAGACCCCTGATTTGTTTTTGGGTGAATATTTGTGCATATTAATTACCTTATTAGCATAATTAGTTAATTTTCAGCTTTTTGCCTGATATCTCAAGTACTAATCATCATCATATTTCAATGAGACTTGTTACATAGATCTTCTAGGACTATGCAGAGACCTGATTAGTTTTAGGGTAAATAATTGTGGATATTAATTACCTAATTTGCATAATTAGTTAATTGTTTCTATGAAAGTTCCACTGATATATAAAAAACCACGAATTGGATTTTAATGAAACTTTTAAAGAGTACTCATCATCACATTTCAATGAATCTAGAACTATGCAGAGACCCAATTAGTTTTTGGTAAATATTTACGCTTATTAATCACCTAATTAACATAATTAATTAACACTGATATCTCAATTACTGATCATCACATTTGAATAAAATTTGGTACATAAATGCTCTAGGACAATATACAGGCCTGATTAATTTTGGGTTAAAATTTGTTCATATTAATTCTCTAAGGTGTAGCATAATTAGCATAATAATTCATAATTTGTTTGTTCTGTTCTGTTCATATTAGTTACCTGATTTACATAATTTGTTTTCAGTTTTTCCATCAATATCTCAGGTACAAGTAATTTTGAATTAATTTTTAATGTGTCTTTCTAAGCTGAGTTCTTTTCTGAGTTCTTTCGAAGCTTTCTTTGATTCTTAATTAACTTTGAACCAAATTCTACTAATGTGTAGGGAGTATGGAATATTTGATAATTGCTAATTACGGTGATCTAGTGAGAATTGCCTCATGTCAATTTCATTTTGTGATAAATTTATCTTATATTTAATGTTTGTTTCTCACGTTTTCCAATTCTGTTTACAGACAGGGATAGTCAGAGAGATAGTGGAGGATCATGGGACTTTAATTTCTGTCAAGATTCCAATTCAGGGAATATAGCGGATGATTTCAAAGGTAAGAGTTTTTTTTTTTACTCGTCAAAACCAAACACTTGTGATTGAGATTGATCTTTCCGCTGTGCATTACTTGTTCATTTCAAGCTATGGGAGGGGGGGGTGTCAAGTCAACTGTGATTCGGAATACAGATCCATAGATATGTACACGATTTGTCTTTTTGTAATATTCATATAAAAACATCTGAAATTAGATGAACATTGACCTTTGACACTTTGACAGGTGCCATGTCTGTAGTGACAGTTGCTGAGGAGTTGAATGTTGCTGAAAGATGGCAACGCATGGAACACCTACGAGAAGAGAACGGAGAGAAACTAGCAATGGAAAGATTGAGGTCAGCTGATATACTTACTGTAATCCACTAGGTTTTGTATTCACTGTTTAGTGAAGGAAACACTGCTCTCTGTGGTTAACTTTGTAGAACACATTTGTTACCAAATTGTCTGAAGAACCCAGTGTTCTCCTGAGGACTTTGTGGGGAGGGGGCGGGGCTATAATAAAATTCATTTTATTTTGTTTATTTTACCAATTGATATGAAACTTATGCTTAGCATTGCAGTTATAAGCTTTCATTAGGAACAAGTAAAATGTGCGCTACTTGTCTGACTTCATTTCAGTTACTGCAGAATGACTTTAAATAATTACCTTGCTAGCCCCATGCTCTTTTACATTGACTTGACTAGGTTAATTCTGCTGAATTGTAATTGGGAAAAAAAAAAATTACAAAATACATGTATACAGAAATTATTTTTTCCTTTTAGCATTTGGTATCACACAGGGATACTACAGTATTGCACTATGCTTATATTATCCTGTTCAGAGACGGAAGAAATGAATCCTGAAATGGACAAAAATACACAGAATAAAACAAATCCCAAATCCTGTTCATACAATGTGTATGTTTGTGTTTTTTTTTGCAGCACTGCTAATTACAACCACTTGGTGGCGCTGTTGAAACAACAATTGCAATCCGAAGGATTATCTTTATCATGGACTGACATCATATTTACTTTGATTACAAAAATAAGTGATATGGTGAGTATACCACCCTACTACATGGTAACAACTGTTGCTAAGGTCTGCATTTCAATGTTGTGCACATTTATATATATACAAAAAGTGCTTCATAATAAATGACAGATATTGAATTTGATGTCCATAGGAATGGATGGATACTAAAAATATGGGACCACATGTATTTCTAATAAAAGATCTGAAAGTTCATTTTGGATATTTACAGATTTATCTTCACCAAGAGTGCCTTAGTACAAGATTGTTAATCACCTAGGGTGCCCTAGTACAAGATTGTTAATCACCTAGGGTGCCCTAGTACAAGATTTATTTTCACCTCGTGTGCCTTAGTACAAAATTGGTAATCACCTAGGGTGCCCTAGTACAAGATTGGTAATCACCTAGGATGCCCTAGTACAAGATTATTAATCACCTATGGTGCCCTAGTACAAGATTTATTTTCACCTAGGGTGCCCTAGTACAAGATTTTTTTTCACCTAGAGTGCTCTAGTACAAAATGTTTAATCACCTAGGGTTCCCTGGTGTAAGATTATTTTCACCTAGGGTGCCCTAGTACAAGATTTTTTTTCACCTAGAGTGCCCTAGTACAAAATTGTTAATCACCTAGGGTACCCTAGTAAAAGATTAGTAATCACCTAGGCTAGGGTGCCCTAGTACAAGATTTTTTTTCACCTAGAGTGCCCTAGTACAACATTTTTAATCACCTAGGGTTCCCTGGTATAAGATCATTTTCACCTAGGGTGTCCCAGTACAAGATTGTTAGGTACCTAGGGTGCCCTAGTACAAGATTGTTAGGTACCTAGGGTGCCCTAGTACAAAATTGTTAGGTACCTCGGGTACCCTGGTATAAGTTTTATCTTCACTTAGAGTGCCCTACTAAAAAAGCGCCCTTCACGTAGGGTACCTCATTCTTGATTGATCTTCACCTAGCATGTCCTATTGCAAAATTGACCTTTAGTGAAGCTGTATTATAAAGGCAAGACTGCTTGGATAAATAGATTGAAATTCACCAAATGTATCAATTTTCTTCAGGTGAAACCTGATGTGCGACATGATGATGATGACATGGACATTAGACAGTATGTACAGTTTAAGAAAGTACCAGGTGGACAGAAAACGGACTGTTCAATGATTAACGGTGTTGTCTGCACCAAACATGTAGCACATAAAAAGGTAAAGATAAAAATCATCTTTTAAATTCTTGTGATTTCTATTTAATTGCACATATGTCATCATACATTTTAGCTACAAATCTACATTGTATAAAACCACCTTTTCTGTAGAATGTGTTATTACATATACCGGGTACTATGTGTTACCAATATTTACGAGAGTTTAGATTCCAAATAAATTTATCTCAGGGTAGGGAACGAGGGGATACCGTTGACTTCCGATTTCATACAAATGTGCACATAGTAACGACATACAATAGAACACCAAGCGAGACACAGGTCAAATAGGTTAAATCTATATATATTCGTGGTAACAAGTAAACATTAACAACAACAAAGTTGTACATAAATAAACAAAATAATGTTACTATATCACAAATAGTCAACAATAATAATGCCTTAATCTACACAGCAATACTGTCTGTTATGACCCTTAACCTAACGTATCTATGCCAATACTGTCGCTACGTCGGTAGTGCTAAACGATGGGTAGTCTGTCACGTCGCGTTTAGTCAGCGGTACTATCACGCTCAACTACAACGCCTATGTTATATTGCAAGAGCCCTGCTCGGCAACTATAACCCCTAGACTAATCTATTCTCAAAGTATCTCCAAATACTCAAATAAAAACCCAACAACCAATACACTAACACTATGCTTCAGGTATTACTATTAACACCACATAGAACCAATCACTAGCCTAAGTATTAACAACCCGTAATTCTCATTGGTCAATCCCTGACTGAACCAAA